GGGAGGGGGTGGGGTTCGGGAAGGCCATGCCAAGGTCATGTTTGGGGGTTGGGGAGGGTTCTGTCGGGGTTGCTGACAAATGCAACAGAGGTGAACTACACACACGACGAAACAAGTACAAGACTGAATAAAGTTCACGAGTTTGAACAACAACATTTAAACACAATTTTTCAAAACCATTGAGTCATTCTCCATTATCCGCAAGAAACAATCATTACACAAGTTTTGAAATTATAACATTACAGGCAAACGAAAGAACACGGCGAAACAGCTGCACCATACACAGACAACAATAAAAGACACATGCACACAGGACTCAGTCCAATGGTGTGCGAAAAAACTGTCGAATCGTCTGAAATATCGATACAAAAATAAAACGAGAAACAAAAAATGAAACTGTGAGCACTGCACTTGTTGAGCCCGTGTGTGAAGAAATACTAAAAAAAGTGCAATCCTCTGAAACATCGATGAGAAAATAAAACGAGAACAAAAACAAACTGCACCCGTGCATGGAAATCGAATACAATAGTCTCACCACCTCTACAAATACAAATGCAGTCATGACGACCTGCACAGACTACTCCTACGAACACAAGGCCTCGTCCGAAGCACTAAATATACTGTACACTACTACGAAACAGAGGATGAAAGAAGACTAATGGTAGAACTATGCATCATCATCGTCCACAATGTGCTTCCTCCTCCTCTGCGGCACCACACCTGTGACACCATCCCCACGACCTGTGCCGCCTCCCGGCGCGTGCGCAATATCCGGAGCATGAATCTCCCCCTGTGGCGCCGCCTCAACCCCTCCCTGTGGCCGAAGAAGATCGTACACGAAAACCCTCCTTCGCTGGCCATAAGGCATCTCCAAATCGTCTGTGCCAGACTCCCAAACGACTGATGCCTGTGACGATCGTTGCGCTGTCACTGCCCTCACATCGTCCCCCAATATACGTGCAGCCATGCTCTTTCTGGGGGACGCACTGCACTCGGCGTGGTCGCCCGTACCCGCTGTACGCCCTGCGGTATGTGGCAACGTCGCCTCAGCAGGTGCGCTCGTGGAATGATCCGTCGCTCAGTTGGAGGCCCTCTCCTGCCATCCTACTGCGTCTGCGACAACGTCCCCGCCCAAAGCCGCCCGTGTCCGCGGATGTAAGCCGTCCAACCCGGGCTGACTCGTCCGCATCGTCTGCGTCACTCTCCTCACGGTACTAAGACTTTTCCCTGCTCTCATCTTCTTCTTCCGTGACTGAGGAGACGGAGACTCCCCAATGGGTGTCGGCGAGGGGCCCCGTCCGCCTCTGCCGCGCCTGGACCCTCCACATGTGCGGGTGCGCTGACACCTGTGGTGGACGATGGCACTGACGGGCTGCAAGGCACGAAAGCTGGGCCCTCTGCCATCAACTCCCTTGATGCCTTGGCCATCCGCCCGCGGCGATCTGCTTGCAATGGGTCCTCCCGTGCCTGCCACTCCAACTCCCCCGCCGACATGGCCCCACCGAGAGGCAATACGCAAACACCCTGAACTGGCAACTCAGGTCTCTCGCCTGCATCCCCTCCGCCCGCACCGCCGCACTCGACCTCTGCATCGCCTGCCGCAACGCCCGTCTTGAGCATCCGCGCTACACGTGCCCTCGATGCAATGCTCTGCGTCATCTCGCAGTGGCTAGCCAACCTTGGGCCGTCCTCCTCTCCTCGAGGACGATCCTGTCTTGCTCTGACTCTGTCGCCCGCTCCTGCACAGGTCCACACTCCCCATCATCCCCAGTTGCACGCTCGTGCTGCCCCGACCAACCTTGTGTCCCCTCTGCTGCCTCCTGCAACATGCTACTATTGATGTCGCTCGCGCTGCATGAAGGTATTCCACGAAGTATCTGACTGACGGGCGTGGTCGCTGCGTCCGCATCGGCACCAACACACTCCCCTGCAAGTGTCGGAGGAAACCCTAGCGAAACATAAAAAATGTTGTCGCTGAAACTGGCACCCAACTGTGCAGATGGCCTCCCAACCTGTACACCCTCGCCACCAACACCTGCAAACCCGCCTGCGCCCTCCGCAGACGCGCTGCCGCTGCAAACTTTGCAGGGGACGGATCAACCTATGTAGGGGAAGGAGCAACCACAACCGCCTCAGCGGGCCTCCCCTCATCAACTGAATGCACAGTGCGAGTGGATGATGCAGACTCTCACCTTACTTGTCCTCTGCCAGCATGTCCTGCACCACCTGTGTGCTCTGCACCCCCAACACCTGGCCCGCTGCCTCCCCTGCCTGCACCACTGCATCGGTCGCCACGCTGTCTCTCTGACTTCCGCAAACCACCAACAGGCTGTCCACCGTCGCCACCCTCGTCGTCGTCGTCGTCACCATGTCCGCGCATCGGGGAATAACAGGGATCACCCTCATCCTCACTGCTGCCCTCATATCCCTCCCTGTCGTCGCCGTCGCCGTCGTCTCCCTCGTCAACGCGCTCTCGAGTCCCTCCCTGTCTGCGACGATCAGTCGAAGGGTGTGGCGTCGTGCTCTCAACACGGTCCGCCGGGCCTCGTAGCGAGACGTTGGGAGCACTCGAAGGAGGGCGTGCTGCGGGAGACGGTGCAGCGACCGTCGTGGATGCACGTGTGCGAGGACGCGAAATCTGGATGAGAGGAGTGTCGTCGTCATCGTCATCGGAACCTCCAGGCTCTGACTCCACGGCCAGGTCGTCCGGATCGGACCACGGCTCGGCCTCCATCGCATCCAGAGCCATGGGATCAGGCTTGGGATCGTACACTGACTCCAACTCAGTTGCCATGAGCACCGTGGCGCGACGACCGAAATACGTCTCGACGCTGGGAGGTGCCTTTGAAAGGCGATCCTTCCGCCCACGCTGGACCTGCCGGTCGCGCTGTGCCTCGGTGACTCGGTCAGCTGGCCGAACACCCTCATCATGAGGCGGAGGAATAGCGTCCTTTGTCTCCTTCTCAGCGTCCTCCCATGGAAGAACGTACCCTGAACCCCTCCCCTGACARCGACTCAATCTCAAGTTGGTGGATATCTCTACCAAACGAGTCAGCTTGATGAAACCAAGCTGGTTACGAGTCTTCACCTGAACACGCTCATGGACGGCCCGATTCCTCTCCGTCGGAGAGGCGCACGTCCATGTGTGCGTCAGGCAAATGGCGATACTCTGAAGGAGAGGGACCCCGTCTCCGTGATGGACCCACCACTGCCTCACTTGTGACGTCTCCTTCTCCCCTCTGCAGGAGGCCGCATCCCTATCTCCCTCAACACCTCCATACGTCCAATCGCACTCCCGAGAATGAAACTCCGGGAGCTGCGTGCGCAACGTCTGATACAAATCCTCGTCACCACCAGTCTGCTGGCGAAGGTATCGCAGCGACTCGTCTGCCAGTGTCCGCTCGTGCTCGGTACGCCTCGCCGGTCCAAAAAAAGTAATGCTCCTGTGCCGCAGGTTGAGGACGTGGGCCACACAATGTGCGGGCTCCAACATATGAGTGACCCGCGCCTGACAAGCCTAAATAACGATGTGGAGCTCATCCTTCGACGTCCTGTTCAGGATCGCTCTCGCCACCCTGTCGACCATGACAAAACCCGACGACCACATGCGAGTCATCACGCACCCCCCCCTGTCCAAACGCCGTAGCAACTGCATCACAGGCGTCATCAGCGTCACGATGTCCTCCACGTGCTCCCAGAATGGCGCGTACCGCACCTGATGACGCACCCACCTAGCCTGCAGAAAAATGGACCTCCTCCATGCAGTCCGCAGCCAATCGTCGCTCATCATCAACGCCTCCAACGCTCTGTGACGATCCAGCAACCTCTCTAGCATCAAGTAGTGGGTGGCAAACCTCGTCTGCACAGGATACACAAGCTCCCTGCCTCGTCGCTGAGACCGGGGTGGCGCAGAGCTGGAACTGCCCGCCGCCGCGGAGGCGGAAGAGCGGTGGGCGGCAGAGAACCATCGATAAAGGCTCAGAGCCACCCCGTGTTCTCTGATGAAACGCACGACAGCTCGAGCCCTGATGATGGTGTCCTCCCTCTTCCCAAGGCTCCCGTCACTCCCATCCTTCGCGATGTCTGACAACAACAAGTTGCAAACATGGACTGCACACGGAAGCCAAGTGATGCGGCTGTACCTGACTTCCTCCTTCGCGAGGAGCTTGGAGGCAGCGACATACGCAGACGCGGAATCAGTGCAAATGGCGTTGACCTTGTCGACACCGAACTTGTCGAACACGTCCTTCCATCGCTACAAGACGGCCTCTGCTGTCTCCTGAACAGCACCGTCCCTCTGCACAGTCCTGAAAAGGTACGCGCCCATGGGCCCAGCAGCAAGGAAGTTGACTATCTGGTCGCTCGTGATGGACTTGCGACCATCCGTGAGGATGGTCACTCCCGTCGCCTCAATGTCCCTGCGGATGGCCACCACCATGTCCGCCACAACAAGGTGCTGTTGAGGGATGCCGTCGCAGGAGATGACACGGTACGTGGGTAATGCCGGATGTGCATACGACGGACACTCGAGCAACTTCTTCCTCATCATATGACACTCTGGCCTCCTCGCCTCCTCGAATGGGATGCCGCTCACGTACCACCACTGCAGGAGGGAGTCGGAGAATTCTTGTTGCCACACCGGATCGAAGGTTTCCAGCATGGACGTCTGTCGAAGAACTTTGCTCTTCTTCGGCTGAGAAGGTGCTGATCTCGCCTCAGTGGCAGTCATCTTCGCCTTCCTCTTTCTCTTCTTCGATCCCGCAGCCGCCTTCATCGCCTTGGCTGCCCCTCTTGGCCACGACGGCCATCGGCCCCAAGATCTGCTCCCTCTTCGTCATCGTCGTCGCCGTCGTCCTCGTCAAGGGTGCTATCCTCGTCAACGGCCTTCTCCCTCCTCATCTTTCCCCTGGCGCGCTCCGTCTCTCGCCGCACCTCCATGTCCTGTGCATCACTCTCACCATCATCATCTCCACCCTCGACTGCCCTCCTCTCCTCCTCGCTGTCCTCGAACCCCTCCTCCCCCGCCGACTCCCTCCCCGATCCACATCTGTTGTCTCGTAACCCACGAGACTTCAAAAAGTCCACGATCGTCCGTTGATGGCTTTGATTGAACCCGTACTTCGTCTTGTTTCAGATCTCCGCCATCTGCTCCACGGAGATTTTCACGCAATTGTTCTCGATCGTGAAGTGCTGTGTGGCTTTCGTCTGGCTCCCCTGAAACCCCTGACCACACAGCTTGCACTCCATGAGAAAATTGCCATTCGAATTCGGCATTGTCTGGCCCTCCGTAATCCACTTAAAACTGCAAAACTTCAGCTCCGCCTCCCTCTGCTTGTCCTTATTAACCGGAACGAATCGCTGATCTCCCCTCCCTGTCCTGGGCGCCATTGCAGCCTTGCAGGGAGCCCAACGCACACAGATGTTGGAGCAAGGTACGCTAAACAGCGCCAACGGCCAGGCCCGTCCCCCCTCCCCCCCCTCCCCCCAGATGGGCCCGAAACCGGGCCGAAACTCGAAAACCTCGTCGCCGAGAACAGCCCGTCTACCGGCCCGTTTAGGCGTACAAGCCGTACGTACGGGTGGGTACGTACGTACGGGCGTACAGGCCGTACGTACGGGTGCCTGCTTACGTACGGGCGTACGTATGCGCCGTCCGCCACCGCTGCGCCACGTCCCTGCCTGAAGAGGTCGCCGCCGCCCTTTGTCGCGCCGCCGCCGCCGTCGCCGGAAACATCGTCGTCGCGGTCGCCGTCGTCTTTGTCTTGGATCTCTCTCTCTCTCTGTCTCTCTCTCACACACACACACAGACACACACACACACACACACACACACACACGTCTCTTATACACATCTAGATGTGTATAAGAGACAGGTAAGAACCAGGCTGAAAGCACAGGGGAGGGGGCACGTGAACAGAACGAAGAGAAGAGCGAGCCATGGTAATCACAACAAAAATGGCAGCGATAA